TAAATAGGCAGTACTAGGACTTCTGAAAAAATGGCTGATTCCAGGTCTGCAGCAAGAGAAAACCAAAGTAAGTCTAGGCATCATGTTCCTCTTGTTTCATTTTGTTTTTGAATCTGGGTCTCCCTCTGTTGAGCAGGCTGGAGTACCATGGCACAATAATGGCTCACTTCTGCAGCCTGGAACTCCTTGGCTCAAGCAATCCTCCCACTTCAGCCTCCAAAGTAGCCTAGACTACAGGCATGCACAACCATGCCTGGGTTAAGTTTTTTTATTTTTGTAGAGATTGGGATCTCACTATGTTACCCAGGCTGGTCTGGAACTCCTGGCCTCAAGGAATCGTCCCGAGAATGTTATGTTAAGGAAGTGCTCAGACTTAAAGAACAGTAATGTTAAAAGGACAGAGGAGCCAGCCACTAGTCAAATTTGGAACAGTTTTAGCATACAAAAGTCAAATAATTTTTAGTAACAAAAAATAATATGTACTTAATTATTACAAATAGAAGGAAAAAATTGCAGGTAGAAAACAGAGAAGAAATGTTACAATATTTTAAATTACTTTTTGTAATTTATTTATTATTATTATTTTTTTTTTGAGACGGAGTCTCGGAGTCTCGTTCTGCTGCCTAGGCTGGAGTGCAGTGGTACAATCTCAGTTCACTGTAACCTCTGCTTCCTGGTTCAAGAGATTCTCTTGCCTCAGCCTCCTGAGTAGCCGAGATTACAGGTGCATGCCACCACATCTGGCTAATTTTTCTATTTAGTAGAGACAGGGTTTTACCATGTTGGTCAGGCTAGTCTTGAACTGCTGACCTCAGGTGATCTGCCTGCCTCAGCCTCCCAAAGTGCTGGGATTACAGGCATGAGCCACCACACCCAGCCTTTGTAATTTAAAAATTACGATTTGTAAGCCCCCAGTGTAATAAATGATACAGGTAAAGACCATTGGTGGATGCTAAACACAGTGGGTGAAAAGTTCTTGGGGTATTTTTAGGGTCTCAAAGTATCATTTTACTGATTATATGCTAATTTTAAAGAGGAAAATACAACTTTACAATGGAGAGATCTAGCTATTACTACCTTATCCAAAGCTATTACTACCTTACAGTTGGACTGTAAGATACACACTTTTTTTTTTTTTTAATTGTACGTTAGGTTCTGGGGTACATGTGCAGATCATGCAGGATTGTTGCACAGGTACATACATGGCAAAGTGGTTTGCTGCCTCCATTCTCCAACCCCCATCACCTGTATCTGGCATTTCTCCCCGTGTTATCCCTCCCCAACCTCCCCACTGCCTCTCCACTCTAAACAGCAAAATTAAGCATCATTAGTGATAGGGCAACCTCATATCATTTGCCTCATAATGTAATGTACTGTGAAGTTCACACTACTTATCTTCTACTTAATGTATACATATCTTCTATGTATTATTTTCCTAAAAATATTTATTTTGAATCTAATCAAGGAAACAATCAGATAAATTTAAAACCTGGGGCATTCTATCAAAATACGCCAAACTCTTTTTTAAAAAGGCCAATGCCGTGAAAAAAAAAAAAAGAAACAAACAAGTAGGATATTATTCCAGATAAAACTAAAAGGGACATTAAGCACATAAACCTTGACTGGATCCTGGATGATAAAAGTAAAACGAGAAATATAAAACGCTTTTGGAGACAATTGGAGAAATTTACAGGTTGTCTGTTATATACTACTGAATTACTACTGATGTTTGAGGTGAAATAATGATTTATGGTTATAAAGGAGAATGTAAGTCTTAGGAGACATATGCTGAAATATTTAGGAGTGAATCTCAAGATATCCACAATTTACTTTCAAATGGTTCAGCAAATACGAAGGAAATATATCAAGATGTTACAACTGGTAAAAATAGATGAAGTATATGGGTATTCATTGTACTCTTAACTTGTAGATTGGGATTTATTTTAAATAAAAGCTTTGGGGGGAAAACCTCAGTTCAAATGTCACATCTTCTGTGGAGGCTTTTTTTGTACTTTTCTAGTGGAATTATTTTTTTCTATCTTCAGTATTCCTGCAGGATTCTGTTTATATTTAGACTTTAGAACTTAACAAATTTGTTAATCGCTAATTCCTAGGTCTTATCTTTTTCCTATGCTGTGTGAAACTGGCCTCATCCTCATTCCCAGAATTTAGCTCTTTATCTGGCACCTACTAGGTATTCAATGTTTGTTGTATGAATGAGGTAACATGCGACAGTAACAAGCTAAAACTGAATCTTGATATTGTCTATATCACCAGTCTCAAATTTAATCAAATCTATCAAGCAGGAACCCTATGAAATGGTCCTTTGTGACCTGTACCATTATAATGAGTACCCACATTAACATTCAGATTGATTTAAAATTGATTTAAAACAAAGCATAACATGTTTCCCTCAAGGAGGCCGACCCTTAAGTTATCACAGGCATATTTTAATTTTAAATTCTTCACACTTTTGACTCAAAAAATTAGAGAAGCATACCTGCTCTATATCCTTGGAAGTGGAGGTCTGGTTTTCTCCCATGATTCCAGGCTGCTCATTTTCCCATGGTAATTTATTTTTTCCCTTTCCTGCACTTAATACCCTTCGGGTACAGATAGTTGGACTGTAAGATCCATAAATTTGCATGCTATCCCTCATGTGGTCACCACAGTGGCAGTGTGCACTCTGAGTTCTGTTACCAGCCAGAAGCCAGTCCGTATCTGCTCCATATGCCAAATGGTTTGATCTACCCTGGGCAGAAGATGGCATGAGTACTGCATATTCCACAAATCCCTGCTCTGTTAGCCTTGGTAAGGTTTTCCTAGCCAGTCTGGCCTGCACAGCATTCATCACTCCATCTCCATTATCTTGCAGTTCAACAGTATCCACAGCTTTAAAAAGGATGCTGGTTTTACCTGAGCCCATTGATGATGCCAGTACAGCAAAAGCTTCTAAAGCTGCTTGGCGTACCCTGCGTTTGCTATCTACAAGAGCTGGGGCAAGATCAAAGGACAGTTTGGGCAAGTCAAAATCCTCACTAGGATAAGTCAGCAGGGAGCAGATGCATATGTTCACCACCTCCTCTCTCACTCTGGAATGCTTATGTTTGAGATGTTCCAGGAGTAAACAAAGCACCTGCTGAGGTCCTACTTCCTTCATTAGCTTAAGGAAGATTTTCATGTATTCTTGTTTGATCACCAACTTGTTGTCTGCCAGCACTTTGACAGAAGCTGCTATAACTGGTCCCAAAAACTGCTGTACCTGTTCTCCAAGGCGAGTAACCAGTAAATGCAGGACTTGAAGTGTGCCATGGACCACTTTGAAGTTAGAATCATCTAACAAATTATATAGCAAACTAATGAAGCCAACAAGACTAGAATGAGGAGTAGAACTAGGGTTAAATTTTCCCAGCACCTGCTTTAGTTCTTCGACGGCCTGAGTCCGGTTCTTATAATCTTCCTGATCCAACAATCGTGAATGCAGCTCCTGAGGAATAATCCCAAATTTAAGATTGCTGTTGGAAAGAGTCACTGGACAGGGAAGGGGATCTTGAGGAAATCCAGAGGCTTCAAGTTCCAAATAATAAGGAACCTCACCTCCAAACTGGGACTCCAGGCGGCGATTGTAGTGTCTCCTCAGGGCAGAGGGCAGACGAGAAATATAAGACTGAAATCTGTCTTGGCCAAGTCGCTCCCCAATTTGTTGAAGTGCGGAGAAAGCTGTCTCAGATTCTTCTTCTGTCTCCTGATCACCAAGCTTTCGGGCTAGGGATATTATCACCTCGGTGAGATCCAGACCAAGTAACAAGTCCTCAGTAGTAAGCAAGATGGGGAGCAGCAGTGCTGTGGAAGCTCTAAGTCGTGCATCGGTACTTTCCAGTCCTTGCTGTATAAGCGTTCTCAGCACCTCTCCAGAACTACGTTTCAGACATATATGCAGGATCTGCAGCGCATCTTTCCGCAAGGCTGGATTCTCTTCCCGTAAAGAGACAACTAGTTGAGGCAAAAGTGCTAAGCTAAAGGCCTCTTCCAGCTGGCCTGCCTCCCCCTGACCCCGGAGAACGTCTGAGAGAAATTGCAAGCAGAGTCGCTTCTCATCACTACCTCCTTCCACAAGCACTCGGCCGAGTGCCCGATACAAAGCTTCCTTGCGTCGGGGGAAGCCAAGTCGACCGCCCCGCCTCGGCAAAGCAGCTTGCAAAGCCTGAAAAGCCTCAGAAGGATCCGGTGCGGTGCGGAGGAGTTGAAGGAGCCGAGTCTCCTCTTCATCTCCCCCAGACAAACTGCCTCCAGACCCAGACCAGCTGCTAGAGACTGCCTCCGAGGGCATCAAGAGGGCCGAGGCCAGAGGCGAGGTTGTAGTGGGGCAGGAACCGTGGTCCCCCGCAGCTCCACGGCAGCAGTAGTTTTTCTCTCCTCTCATAATGCCCCCAACTCGACTATCATCAGTCTCTGAGGCGGAAGGACGACTGCGTCTCTGGAGCTGAGAGGCACAGAGGACTGGAAAGGGCGGCAGCAGAAGCAGCGCGGAGGACGCAGCCGCCATGCAGGGTCGTCAGGTAGCGGTGGCTGGAAGAAACCATTGCCGTCTCCGACGGGCTCGATGGAGCCCAGACTTCCAGATCCTCTCCAAGGCCCAAACTGCAGAAGAGGAAAAAGGTCAGCTTCAACCTGCCGCCAGGCCGCCCCCACCTCCGGGAGGCAGCCTCTGGCAAAATGGCCCCCGTCTGCGCCCTAGCCCCCACAGCTGCCACCGGGCGTAACCAGGGGCACCACGTGACCAAACCGATCGCTTCCATGGTGATGTACCCAGCGCGGACCTCTTAACCCGGAAATCCACTTGCCGCGATGAATGCTGGGTTACGTAGTTTACGTCAGATGTTAAGTATAGGCCAAAGTCTCCTGGAAGAGGAAGTCACAACGCTGTAAACGTAGCTAGAGCGAAGAAGGCAGGAGGGGTGAAGACGTTAGACGGATGTGACGCTCTCCTTGCTCTGGGCGGAAGTTGCCCGCCCCACCCGTAAGAGTTGGGGTTAGACCGGAGCTAGTGAGGATCCAGCCCAGGTTCCAGTTGTCCGCGACTCCTCCTCCTGTCGCTGCCAGCGTGATTACTGGGACTCAGGTATTTTCCTTTTGCTGTCCTCCAGCGGTGCAGGCTTTGGCAGTGTTTTGCCTGAATGCCACTGGTGCTAGAGTAAGAGGCAAAGGAATGAACGGAGCAGGTGGAAAGAGAGGCGACATCTTCTTGTGCAGGGCTCGTTACCCTTGTAAACGCGTTACTCTCTACAGCCCTGAGTAACAGCGATCCTTTCCTCTTGCCACCTGCTTATCAGGACAGAAGATCCGGACCACGGCCAAGCTCACAAATCGGGTACTTTTTTTTCAATTCCTGGCCTTTTGGGCCTTTATTCTCCCCGCCCTCCTACCCCTTCTCCTTTTGTCGACTTCTCTTAACCCTCCGGCCGTGGAGGGTTAATTTTTCGGGGGTGGGGTGGGGAGTGGCGGCCTTGTTTCCTTACCCCCATCACTTTGCGTTCTCTATAAAACGCACACAATCTGGAAGTAGGTCTGTTTTTTTGTTTTTGTTTTTTGTTTTTCTGTAGCTAAGCGCCTCTCCCCGAGCCGTTACCGAAGTCTTTCCTTCTAATGCAGTTCCTCTTTGGGACTCTCCCCTTCCCTCCGCCCCCTCCGTCTGCCGCCCTAGCCTCGCTGCAGGATCCTCAAGCGTCTCTGCAGCCTTTCAGTCTCCTAGAGACAGATTGCGAAGACGATTTCAGTTGTGGTGGAAGTTCTTGGCATCCCGGTTCTAAGGGAATTATGCCCTGTGGATTTAGGAATGATAGTAGACATTTCTTTATTTTAGGCGAACTGAGAATTTGGTGTGCATTTTTCTTCTCGTAAATGATACTTAAACGGACACATTGGAAGAGCTGGAGTGTCTAATGTGAGCCTGAATGCTTTGGAGTGTGGAAGAGAGATGTTTTTTTTGAAGGAGTAATACAATTACTTTTGAATGACCCGTGCGAAAAGTCTAAGTTATCATTTGAAGACCCAAATTTATGCACTTCAGATGCAAGTATTCCTACCCTGCTCTGTACCAGGTGGGATTTCTCTTAAATACTTTTTAAAACCTTGGAATAATTGAGTCACATATGCCAAACAGCTTTATAAATAATGCTCCCAACTGATGGAAGTGCAAAAATAATTTCTGGATTTTTGCCTTAAAGCATAATTTGAATATCACAGATTTTTTTGCGGGGATTGGAGGGGAATAGGCTATTAATGTAAATGAGGCTGTGTAAATATACATCCTGTGTTTTGATTTAAATTCTAGGTTGTTACTTTGGTTTTAATGGCCATTTTCGTGTTTAAATGAATCTGCCTAGATTAGGATTGGCTAGCATGTTTGATTTCAGGGACAGGTAAAAAGAAGGTGAAAAACAAATGATTGTAGCAGTTGTCGATGAGAAAGTGTTTGGTTCTCATATTTCCAACCTAAGAAGCTTAAATGTATAGACTGCTGCTCATGTATTGCCCAGACTTGAGAAACGCAGTTCAAACTAACCTAGAGAATGATGCACACATTACGATGCCAGTTTATGTTGGATCGGAATTTTAAGGTTGAAAATCCAGTACACCCTTTCTTGTACCCAAGAACTTGGGAAGCCAAGTTAATAACTAGAGGTTGTGTAGTAATCATGGAATCACAAAAAAGGACCTTCAAAAGTCTTAAAAGAAAGACGTGGATGCTTAAGCAGTTATCATGCCCTGTTCCTGGGAACAAAGCAAGATGAGTCTTCCTTTTGACTCGTTTTGTTAGGTCCCTGTGGATTACTATACATTGCAGATTGCTATATATTTTATATCTGTTATATTTGGTCTCTTTGATTGAAGACTTAGAAGATACATTAGTCTCCATGGTGGATATTCATCAGCATCACATATCTTACTGATTATCTTTTAGAGTTATTTTGTGAAACATAAATATCATCCGTTTAATGTGTATTCTGTTTATTATGAAGCAGATGTCTTTAAAAAATCTTACTTTGGAGGCCGGGCACGGTGACTCACACCTGTAATCCCAGCTTTTCAGGAGGCCAAGGTGGGTAGATCACGAGGTCAAGAGTTCAAGACCAATCTGACCAACATGGTGAAACCCACCTCTATTAAATATACAGAAATTAGACAGTATGGTGGTGGGCACCTGTAGTCTGAGGTTCTCAGGAGGCTGAGGCCCAAGAATTGCTTGAACCCTGGAGATGGAGGTTGCAGCGAGCCAAGATTGTACCACTGCACTCCACTCTGGGTGACAGAGTGAGACTGCATCTCAGAAAAAAAAAGAATCTTACTTTGGAAATCTAGGAATTCCTCATATATTGACTTAAGTCTTTTGTATTAAATCATATTTATATAGAGTACAAGTTTTTAATCAATTTTTAGAATAGTAGAATACAGTATTAGGTGTTTTATTAATAGCACAGCTCAGAAAGTTAAAGGACATGGTTAAGGATACATTGAAAACTGCAAATTCAGGTAAAACAAATTTAAAATTTCAGTAACTTTAAGAGTGTAGTTAAATTAGTGAATTATAGGAATGGTTGTGTTACATATGTTAGTTTTCTTAGCCGAACTTAAGGGTAAACACAATTGCCTTAAAAACTTCCTTTGTTTCTAGAATCAGAGATAACACATTAGTTCCCTGGGCGAATCATTGTGATTTTTCTGTGCTCTTACTCAAATTTTACAGACATCCAGGAATATTGAACGTCAGTGTGAATTCTGTAAACTATAAGGAATTTTGTATAGTTTGAGAAGTTATTGTGAAGAAATGCTATGCAAATGAAAGTTGCTATTAATATTAACAAATAATTACGATAATACCATGTTTTGAGTATTTGCTATGTGCCCTGCACCAAGCTAGGTACTTAGTAAATATCAACTCAATTAATCCTCACAAGAATTTTTTGAGGTTACATCTTCTACATTTGGACTATGACACATTTTATGGGGGTTTCCACAAAAGAGTAATTGGACAGAGAAGAAAGTAAAACTCACATTTGCTTAGAGCTTGGAGAATGTTTTGTTGGAGGTCAGTGTTGAAACTTTAGGATAAAATTAGATTTTTTTCCATTATTAATTATTCATATATTTTATTATCATTGGATTATATTTTTAAATTTTTTTTTCAATCCTTGTTTGGTTGAAGATTATATTTTAATTTTATCTTTTCTTTTTAGTTTCTTGTTTCAGGTAACACTTTAATAAGTTAAGAAATTATGAGCTTATTTTATACAGGATTGAATCAGCTTTCTTGATATATATGAGTGATATATTTTCATCTACTTAGGTTTATCTTCCAAAGCCATTACATATTTCTGTCTTCAGTCAAAACCATAATTTTAAACAAAAATCCAACTCGTATTGCATATTAATTACTATGTATAAGTTAACAGAATTTCACGTCTGTTGCAAACAGTTTTTCAATGGACGGTTTAATTATGTAACTTAGACACCTGTCATAACATGGATTCAGAAATAACATAGAAGAAAGCAAGTTCCTAAAGCCATTACCACATCCAGTGAGGCTCTGACAGGCTTCTAATAATAATCTTAAGTAATAATAAAAGGCAAATCTCAGAGAAATGGAAAAATCCCAATTTATTCCATAGGCTCACTGATAAAATTATATACCATTCTTAGTTGGATTCTCCTATCAGGAAAGTTGAACGGTGGGAAAGAAATTTAAGAAAAGAGCAGATGCACCGGGCGCGGTGGCTCAAGCCTGTAACCCCAGCACTTTGGGAGGCTGAGGCGGGTGGATCACGAGGTCAAGAGATCGAGACCATCCTGGTCAACATGGTGAAACCCCGTCTCTACTAAAAATACAAACAATTAGCTGGGCATGGTGGTGCGTGCCTGTAATCCCAGCTACTCAGGAGGCTGAGGCAGGAGAATTGCTGAACCCAGGAGGCGGAGGTTGCGGTGAGCCGAGATCGCGCCATTGCCCTCCAGCCTGGGTAACAAGAGCAAAACTCCATCTCAAAAAAAAAAAAAAGAAAGAAAGAAAAGAGCAGATGCAATAAAATATTCTCCTAATTTCATAAATCATTTCTTATTTTCTCCTTTTAAAGAAAACTGATTTTTTTTTTTAAGTGTAATGTTGATTTCCCTTCCCCATTTATTTACTCTGGTCGTGATCTATATATGGTGGCAGATAATTGCCTCCCAGCTGATTTCAGCACCACTGTTTTGTGGCTTAGGTGTCAATTAAGTTGGTAGGAACTAAACTCACAACTTGACCTTTATTAACTTAGTTTCAGAGCCTAAAGTTACTGTAGACTATGGAAAGTTTGTTTTTATTTTAATTTCAAGTAGATACTTTTTATTCGATATTGACTCATGCAGTTACCAAGATTCGGGATACTGTGGCAGGGATATGGAGGAAGCTGCTATACCAAATCAGCTTTTAGACAAATACTGGAAGGCAATGATTATTTCATAAATCCTTCTTTATTTCATTTTAAAGCCCTGATGTATTTTTGTATCAAATGTGTATATATTTTATAAAGATTTTATATGAATAATCTATCCTTTTTGGATTTCTGTTCTGCATATTTTTAGTTTCTTGAGTTACAATTTTAATAAGATTAAGAAATTCTGAGCTTATTTCATAAATGAGGCAGTATAATAGAATATTTAAGAATTATATAGACAGAGTGCCAAGGTTTAAACCTTGCCTTGGACTTAATTTCTTTGTACCTCAAATTTCTTTATCTGTAAAATGGTAGTAACAGTAACAGGTCCTATTATATTGTTGCTCTGAGAATGAAGGGAATTAATACATGTAAAAAGCGTAGAACATTAACTGGTCCATTTTGATCGTCAAAGGTATTCTAGATGCTCTTTCGTAGAATAATTTCATTTTATGAGAAGTGACAACAATTATAAATAGATTCAGAAAATATTTTAAGCAGCTCAACATTGTTTGGCATTTAATTTTTTGAATGTAATGTGTAGAGAGCATTGTTCTAAGATTAAGCAAACATTCTAGTCTCAGTAATGTCTTTTACTAATGATGTGGTCTTGCTAATTCATTTAAACTCTCTGAACTTCGGATTCTAAAACTGTAAGTCTTATTCAAAATTTAGTGCCTTATATTTTCTGTTTTTAAGAAAAAATTTTCTTAGTGTGCAAAATTTTAAAAACATGTAAAAGCAGAATATGATGACCATCCATTTACCTATCACACATCTTCAATTATTATCAACTCATGACAACATCTATATCCCCTTCCACTCCTTCATCCACTATGATTTTGAAGCAAATTCTTAACAGTATATTATTTCATCTACAAATATTTCAATACAGCTG